ACACAATGACCAACAGGAAAAGATGCTTTTGTGCAGGAGTTAATAGATAGTACTTTCTTTAGAGCCACTGTATAGTGTCACCTTACATTACATTCTATTGTTAATTTAGGTTTTGTTCATATTCTGGTGCCCTAATGTGTAATTGTTCATGTTTCTGTATGGGGGGTGGGGGTTGCTTACGCCCACTGATTGGCAGTCAAGGACATGCACAACTGATTGTGTCACATTTGACTCTCTCTCCCCCTCCCTCCCTCCCAAACCCATACACACACTCACATGTACACACAAGATTTGTCCTGGTGAGCTCTCTTCATCTTCTCAGTTCCACATCCTTTGACACCCCTGGGGAATATTTCTACCTTGAACAAGTTTCCATTTTCACCATTTCCTTCAATTCAATGTCCTGCATTCTGTCCATGCACACACACGCACGCACGCACGCACGCACGCACACACACAATTACAAATAACTCAAATTCAAAATAACCTCACATGGTATTTTTATTACTTTTTTTCATTTTGCTGGCAGGTCTAATATGAATCTGGACCCCTAGTCATTTATAAGGTCACTGTATCATTTACAGCCATTTAACTCATAATAGCAGCATTATATTGAAAATCCTTTAACAGTGTTGTACATGGATAATACTACCCAATTATGGCTTTAAAAACGGTACCTCACCTCTGCTATCTCTCTCTCTCTCTGGGGAGTTTCAAGGTTTTTTCATTATCTGGGTTTCACCGACTGTCCAATCATACAGCAGACACAGATGCTACGGCGAATTTAATTGCAGTGGGTGGAGTACAATAGTGCTGATTTGGACAATTTGTAACAAAGTAGTTGGAGCACAATAGTCCTGATGAAAACTGTTTTGCACTAATGGACATGATTAAAAGCAGTTCTCTTCAATCTACTGGCACTGTGTTACTTCGGATCTTTGGACAAAGGTAGAAAAAGACACTGTAAAGAGCAGGATGTGCATTTTTAAATCCATATCCATGCAAATTTCCAAGTGACTAACTCTTATTCACCAGTGTTCAAATGGTCACTTTGGATGACACAGTATAAGTTTGTCATTCTAAAGCTAGTTAAGCTGACAGCTTCATCTCTGCTTTGGCAATCACAGCTGTTGACCTGCCCAACAAAGAGATTTGACAACTGTCCATGGAGGACTTGGTATGATACATCATAGGCAAACAGATTTTAGCAGTCTTTCTGCTTGCCTTCAACATTTGCTTTCTTCCTCTCTAATTTTCAGTCACTTACTCTTCATCACTTTGTTGCTTCTTTCTCTGAGTCTTGAATTCCTTTGTTGTGTTCTACCTCCATTGCCATCTCAATAATCATTGTGGTTTTTAATGATGTAGTGTGTTTAACTGTCTTTACTGTCTCCAGGGTAGAAGCCATGCATCGCCGCCACACAACGTTGAGGGAGAAGGGGCGTCGCCAGGCAGTGCGGGGCCCAGCCTATATGTTCAATGAGCGTGGCTCGGCCCTCACTGCAGAGGAGGAGCGTTTTCTGGATGCTGCTGAATACGGAAACATTCCTGTGGTCCGCAAGATGCTGGAAGAGTCCAAAACCCTTAACTTTAATTGTGTGGACTACATGGGCCAGAATGCTTTGCAGCTCGCAGTGGGTAACGAGCACCTAGAAGTTACTGAGCTGCTGCTAAAGAAAGATGGTTTGGCTAGGATTGGTGATGGCCTCCTTTTGGCCATCTCAAAAGGTTATGTTAGAATCGTTGAAGCCATTCTCGCCCATCCTGCTTTTGGTGGAGGTCTGCGGCTGGCTTTGAGCACTTTGGAGCAAGAGATGCGTGATGATGACTTTTACGCCTACGACGAAGACGGAACGCGCTTCTCGCATGACATCACACCCATCGTCCTGGCTGCTCACTGCCAGGAATACGAAATTGTCCACATCCTGCTGACGAAGGGGGCTCGCATTGAAAGGCCCCATGACTATTTCTGTAAATGTTCAGAATGTGTGGAGAAACAGAAGAAAGACTCCTTCAGCCACTCACGCTCCAGGATGAATGCATATAAGGCCCTGGCCAGTGCAGCTTACCTGTCGCTCAGCAGTGAAGACCCTGTGCTCACCGCCCTCGAGCTCAGCAATGAACTGGCAAGACTGGCCAACATTGAGACAGAATTTAAGGTGAGGTGTCCTATTGGCTTTTCTTCATTCTTCTCTTTCTTCATACTTTACTAGTTTAAAAATAAAGATTTGTTTTGTAGAGATACAGATGTCATACTACAAATGTACACTAGTGTCTATAAGTTCAACCGCCAGCTATGAACCTTATTCTACCCGCTGCTTAAATTTGAAAAATGCTAAAAAGCATGTAAGTGGGTGGCAGGAAAGGGCTGAGGAGGATGAACAGATGTGTGAGCCAGGATTTGTTCAGTGATCCTCAGGCCAGAGAAGAAAAGTGACACAGAATCACAAGGGATCTCAAAGGGCTCTTTTGAAATGAGCGACTGCTCCCCTCCAGAATCCAAAAACTGACATTAGTGCAGTGGAGCACCATGGTGATTCCATGCCATATCAGTTTGAGCAGTTGGCACTAGCCCCAGTAATATTCCTCTCTCACTCTGTCTTTCTCTTGGTATCAAGGGATTGTCCTGCCATCTGCAGCTGTCAAGCCATATAAGGAATTAAAGGGAAAGAATGTAATCCAGTGTTTCTCCTAAAGTGCAACTACAAAAGTAAGAGTCAGACGCACTGCACCAAAACTCTAAAACTAAAGTAGATGGTGGTGTAAACCTTAACTGCTTTGTGGGGCCAAGGGAGAGTGGCCACCATCTAGTCATGAAACTGGGTTTTGCAAGCTTTAGCATACTTTAAATATTAGATAAGTATTTGTGATATTTTCAAGTCATTAACTGCCAGTGTTTAAAGATGAGCTAGAAATGTGAACATTAACCTATTCATGTATCTGTTTTATCACAGAACACAGCAGTTATTTCACAGCTCAGGTTTGTTTAAGCATCCATTAGCTCTTTAATCACCTTGAATATGCCCTCCACAAGTCGATTCAGTAGCATTTATCAACTCTAAATCAAGTCTGAGATAAGTTGACAGTTTTAAATAGTTTAGAAAATATACCTATATTTTTGTTCCACTGAAAGTTTGTAAGCTCTTTATAATAAAATTTATAAACCCTGTCCTGAATTGTTTTTTTTAGTTTTGCTCCAAGGGGAAGCTTCTTGTTGAATGCAGCTGCATCAGTGCAGATGCTTAAGTAAAAACAGCACATTGAACATTATTTTCAGGGATCTATCTTTTCTTGAGCCTGGTATTGTGATTGACTAAGGTATTTTTATTGGTCTATTTTTTTAAAGCTATATAGATCAGGAATATGCTGCTTTAAGAAAATATATGCATCTGACTCTTCCCCGCATTCCTACCAGTGATCACATCTTGAATGTATTTCCTAGGGCACTGTAGATTTTTATTACCCTTTTGAACTACCTGTTAGTAATTCAATGTGCCCTCAAGTTGTTGGGGGGAAAAAGAGTTTAAAATGGAGCATTTTGCATTGTGAGAGAAAAATTCCTTTCTATGCTGCAGTCACCAAAACACACCTTGCTTCCATGATAATGAAACTGATGTAAATATACTGACGTGAATGTACGTTAGTATTTGTGTCACTGTCTTGGTGAGGAATAATTTAAATTTCAAAAGCTTGGAAGTAAATATCATATCTCCGAAGGGATATTTGAGGTTTAAAGATTGGACGTTAGGATCAGGGTTAGAGGTGAGTGGCCTCTAAATGGATTATTTTGCTTGTGTAATATTTAATATTGTTTCTTAAAAATGTAAAGCCCATATCATTAATGCACTCCAACCCTGAACCTTTCTAAACATTACATGATGGAGATGCATGTGGAAACATCAATGTCTGACGCAGTTGGACTGGACAATAAACACCCTTTAAATCCCAAGATCAAAGTCCAAACTCAGAATAGAGCAACTCATGCTCCTCCTGTGTACACTGCACTGGCAGCTCTCTCATCTAAATCAAAAAGAGTATTTCCACAAGTGATAACATATCTAAAGAGGACTATTATCTTCTGGGTTAAATGTAAGAAAGGAGAACTTCAGACAGTGTGCCTAACTGATGTTCCCTTGTTTTCTGTAGCTTGTACGAAAATGATTTGAATTTTTTTTTCATTCTTTTTTAAACAAAAAAATCAAACCTGAGTTTGTTTGCTGGCATCTCTGTCAAGGCAGGGTCATTGGTTTGTGCTCACTTTACACTGTGTGGTCAGGTGGGCATGCTTTGGGTAGCAGCTTGAGGTAGAGAGGAAGCTTATTTCCCCCTACTGTGCCAGCTCGTGTACGAGTCCCAAATCAGTTAGCGTTGGATATAATGGGTAAGGCATTCACTGAAAAACCAGAGACACTCATCCATTAGACTCGTACATTATATGTATACATTTATACTTGATCATTTTTTAAAAATTTCTAACGATTTCCTTGTTTTGTCAAGTGAGATTCACTTATAAGTGAAAAACTGTCTTCAAAGAAAAGCTGTGAGAACAGTTTTCGCTGCGATATTGGATCTGTCTTGTCTAAGCTTGCTCAGACCTGTGCAAAGGAGCTAGAGGGTATGCAAGTGTCAGTCGACTGTCTTTCTTCAGAGACTGACTGCACGAGTGGCTTGTGCAAGCTATTAGTAATGGCCTATGGGTACATCTTAAAGAAATCCTAGCAGTACTATGAATAAGTGCATGTAAAATGTGCACTGGTGTGATTACCATTAGATGGTACTGAAGCATCTGGTGAACTAGAAAATGGCATGCCTTTGTGCACCCATGTAGTGCTTCATTCTCTTACCCTCAACACTCTTGTTAATAACTGTCATTGTTTCTCTGGTCCTTCCGCTTTCTACCCCCCATTTGTGTCTGATATTCAGCCTTTCTGCTTGTCAGTCTGTTCTGTCTCCAGACAAGTTAATGAGAAGGGCTCACCTGAGGGACCACAGTTGTGTTGGAGCTCATCTGTCTCATTACCATCTCATTATCACCCCTCTGTCTTTTTTCTCTTTATTTGTTTTCTTGTCCCTTATCGCATCATCTTCTCATTAATTTAAAATATCAAGTAAGTAAGTAAGCTGTGTGTTTTTATGGAGCGTTCAAATGTGGGCGGGAAAAGTTAGAGCATTTTGTTGCTAACACAAAATGTTACATATGAACTTTTGTATGCTATTAGGTGCAATTTTATGACTTCAGAGGTATATTTATCTATTCATACAAATCTCAGTTAATATGCCCAGTCCTCACCATTTCCTTGGTGAATTAATTTAGAATTTATGCCATAAGTTTATATTTCTTTCATCTCACTTCTAAAGCTAGTATCCTGAAAGGAGCTGAATAATCTAATCAACCTGCTTGAAGTGCTGTACAAGTATACATAATGTGTTTTTGAGATTAAGGCAATGACCATGTTAGTGCTTTTGTGAGCCTCTATGACATATGGGAATCTCTAACATATTTCTAAGCGTCTGTGGATTTATTCATGTGTATTTTCAGAGAAGCATAATTGAAGGTACGTGTTTGTCCAAGACTGAGAAATAAGCTGCCAATCAGCAGCCTATTTATTCAAGAAGCCTCTAAATTCACATTATTCAAATCATCAGACCCCATTTTCCTTATTGTTGGTTTTCTCTGTGTGTCTGTTTTCTTTGCACTTGTTTTACTTAAACAATATTCAGCAGCTATTATTAACAGCATTTTCAG